TATCCTGACTTAACCCTTCTCACGAAAACGCTCGCCTGCTGCCCTTCCATACTGCGACGGCCGAATACCACACGAACGCCCTTCGGCGGGGTATGCAGATACCCCAAATTGAAGCTCACCTCTCCTCCTCCATTTGCGACAGCTCAGCGATCCCGGTCTCGTGCATTACGAGTGCAGACAGGTGCGTTTGTGCGGCTAGCAGGGGAGCGGTCCAGTACTGCTCCGCGGAGAGGATAGTGGCGAACGCATTGACGGCCTGCGTCGTCTTTGTGCTTGCAGTGGTCGGCAGCAGTACGCGAGAATCGAACATGACAAGGTTCTTGTCGGACACAGAGGAGAATAAGGACGCAGTTAAGCTAACAATATTCGAGCAGGTTCCTTCAAGCTGAGAGCGCTGGTGGCAGAATGAGGCGGAGACTTCGAGGTTCAAACGTTCACGATTGATCGAGTGTTCACAAACAGTAAGCATTATTTAGTCATAGAGATCGATGAGAGGGCAAGCACGAAGCATCCCGTTGGCCGTTGGAGACATGATGGAACACTCCTCGGGCACGAGTCTACGAATCCTTGATCAGTAGCGCGCAAGTTGTGCGTGCTATCATTCATTATCATTCATGACTGACTTTGACTCTCGAGCAGGCCGAGTTCTGATGGCACGACGAAACCATGCAACCTCACCATTCTCCGTCGTTCTTGCTTTCCGATCCCATACTCGTCGTGGAGCTCCTGTTCAGCGCAACTAAGCTAAGTACATGATCCACATGCGCCTGTAATGCGGACGAACAGTCTATCCGTCAACAACGTATGTCCTTACTTTCATCCACTGTCGTCCACTACGATCTGTCAATTATCAACAGGTCGAGGAGATGATCTCTGTGTCGGATACCACCGTCTGGATGGTGAGCACTGCGAATGGCCATTGTCGCCTTCATAGGCTTCTCAAATCACGGATGTCGCGTTAAAAAGCGGTATGTCAGATGCGCCACTGGTCACCGCAAAGAAAGAGCATGCAGAATAGGTGAGATCAGATACAGAATCCCGAAGACGAACGCTACGATGCTGCCCCAAGAAGTTCACCGACGAATGAAGCACGTCAGAAGAAACCCGCTGTCGGTACGAGAAACTGCAACAGGATAGCAGATCTCCCCTCGTACGAACGCCGTATGTGGTCAATTCCTTCCGTGACAGCCTGAAACTATAAACGCTTGTCAGCGAGATGCACGAATACCTGGCCTTACAGTATACTTCACTTCTCCTGCTCCTGCAACAGTTCGAACAGTTCAGCCTGGGAACCACACGTGCGAATGGATGTGCTTCTGCCATGAGTGCACCCGCGGCCCAGTGCTGCTCCGCGGTGGTTATGGGACATACCACCGGGGGAACATCAACGCGGCATCGATGGCAGCCTTGGGCTTTGTGCCGGGAGAATGATCGGAAGCCGCTGCAGATGGACATTGTTGAGTGCGAGTTCACTGGCTTGGTGAGCTCGACTTTTGAACAGACCAAATTGCTTATGGTGCGACGGACGGTGCAACTCTAACATTCTTTTATCCTCCTTGCTTGCGGCGCTTCACTCATCGCCGAGCTCTCCTGGCTCAGGCAGCTGCGATAGGTACATAATGCACACGTGTGCGTAATGTGAGTGATCAAACATGTTGTCGCACCATATCTTCTTCAATTGCAGGTGACTCACCATCGTGCGTCGCTCATTGTCAGTTCAGCTTCGCTCTGACCATTACTAATCACGCTTTTCTTACCCAACACCGTGCGCGTCCACGGTGACGATTTTCAGCACAAGCATGCGGCTCGACGAAGGCTCAACCCTTGACCAGCAGCTTCAGGAATCGGCCACTTTGTCGATTAACACCGCCAAGATGTTCAGCGCACGAGATGGCTGTCCTCGTCTGCAAACGCTCCTGGCGTCACGGATGTGATATGAAAACGTTTCGTCAACGAACATTTCTACTCAAACCTAATACCA